TCTCTCTCTCTCTCTCTCTCTCTCTCTCTCTCTCTCTCTCTCTCTCTCTCTCTCTCAACCGTGTTTGTGTGTGTGCAAGGTCCGGTGTGTTGTTGTCCAGCGTAAGAGTCTCTTTCTCACGCACGATTATCCACTCTGTCGCCTCACACACGACCTCCCAACACACTGCCTTACCTCTGAGTACGGCAGTGTCCGGACCGAACTGCTACTCCCACTGACAGTTCGGCAGTCTATCCCCGTGCTCAAGTCCCTGTCCGTCTCCCTTGGACATTTTCCTCCCTTTCGAGTGTCCCCCTTCTGCCCCGTGAACTCGCAACTTTCAAGATTGATGGGTGTCGCTGTCTTCACCAGTACTGTTGATGCCATCTCCGGAGTTGTCGCCAACCTCCGAACACTCAATTCCTCTGCCACGAGCTCCCTTCCTTCTGCTATGTTCACCATCTTTCTCTCCATTCCGTCCTCTTTTACAGCAATCCGTTTCTCCTCTTTTACCACAGTCAAACCTATCGCAGCAATTCCGCCGAAAGTCAGGCTCCCATGATCTTCTCCCCACAGGTCTTTGATTGTGCGGGTTCTCTGCACCCCATCCTGTGCGGGACTAGTATTACCCCCCTTACCACCGTCCTCCTGTCCATCTCCCCTTCCTCCATTCGCCGCCCTTTCTATTCTCCCCCGACCGGTCCCTTCCTTCTGGCAACTGACAAGGCCTGGATTTCTCGTGAGCTGGTGCTTCTTTCCCTCGACCAGTTCGCCTGCGACCATTTGGCCGGGAAGGTGACATTCGCCTCCCGCTCGCATGGCTCGTCTTCTGATCAATAAGGAGTCCGCTTTCCATTCTTTCAGACCTTCCTGCCCCTGCTCCTTCTCCTCTTCCTCCTCCTCCACGGCATCCTGCTTACCTTTCCCTCCCTCCCTCTCTCCCCTCCCATCTCCCTCCACATACCTGGCAGGTCTCCCAGTTGAATTTTCTCCCTCTACAAGGCGGTCACAGACTGGCAGCAGAAGCGGACGAGCTGCCACGCTTCGCTTCCTGTGACCGATTTCTTCCATTGGCGTAGCAACTGCTGTTAGCAGGATCACTCCGCCGGTGCCATTTTCGTTGACATAATCGGAAACATCTCTCATTATCGTGTCATCGTCAGCTCGGTTCGGCTCATCAGTGATGGATGCAAACCGTTTTTCCGCCAATGACACAGACAAGTCTTCGGTCACCTGGTCGTCACTGCCGTCCTCCTCGCCATCTTGAGAGCCGGACGTCGAGCTGATTACCTCATCGCCCATGGCTATGGCGGATCTTTTCCTCCGATGGGCAGTTTGTGCGTCTTCCCCCTCCTCCTCCCAAGCGGGTAGACCGCCAACTCCATGGCCAACCTGCTCCCTCCTCCTAGCTTTTCTCTTCGCTCTAACCCCTGACTTCCCCAGGTTTTCGTCAACATGCGCACACTGCCATATCTGACCCTCACCCATCCCTCTCCTACTGCTTCCACTTGTCGAATTGCGGTAACCTACCTTCATCGCCGGCTTTCTCAGATCTCGCCGGGTTCTCTTCGCAGCATTCGGGTGCTTGGGCTCCTTGAAAGATGGTATGCCAAACCACACAGGGTCCATAGCTTTCACTACTCGAACATCGGTGGTTTCCTGTGGGGATCCCATGCTTGGATCTGTCACCTCGGCGGTGGTTAGTGGTCCGTAGTAGGGAACTGGTGCCACTTGTTGGCCCCTAGCCCCTGTACCAGTTCCACCAAACCAGCTCATTCCCATCCCCCCCCCCTTGACAGGCTCGGCCTGATTGCCTCCTGCTTCAGAATCTGCTGCTCTCGCTGCAGCTGCTGCTTCCGCCTGCGCCTCAAAGTACCCTTGCGCTTCTTCCTCCTGAAACTGCACTTGCCCTGGCTTTCGATCTAGAGAGGCGGGATCAACAGGCTTCAGATCACAGCGATCCCCAGATGACCGTACCTTCCCTCTCCATATCGTTGCTGCAGCACCTAAGACCGCAACATCACTCCCACTGCTGTCGCTGTTGAAATCCGGTATGACCTCCGTCTTCTTTCCCCCAAGCCCTTGCCTTCCCTCCCACAGAGCGTTCCATACATCATCAAGAGTCAGCACCAAAACATCCTTCTCCGTCTGCACATTCCCGACTACTACTCTCCCTGCTCCATCATGATCATTGACCTCACCGGGTCCCCACGTCCTCCGATGCTGGGCCTGCTGATCATCGCTTTGGCTGTTTCGCCGGGATGTCTCTTGCTCTTTCCCCCTCTCCCAGAGACTGCCCACCCAGGACCCCACCGCCTTCTTCGTGTCGCTGGCCCCTTCTGCCCTGGTCCGGGCTTCACCATTATATCCTGGCATTTTCTCTTCTCTTCTCTGTCTCTCTGTCAATCACTGCCTGTACCTAGCTGTCTCCGTATATATAAATATATATTAAATATGCTCTGTTTGACGATATATAGATATGTATTTGACTATATATAGATACGTATTTGCCGATATATCATATATATCGTCACAAAAAGATATATATGTATATCTACTAACGTATATTATGGCGTGGACACTGTCTGTCTCTAGGTCTATGGAAATCGGATCATATACATACATATGCATACCACATTATATCCTACACTATTATATAATCATAAGTTATAATAACAATTTGAAAGTGAAAATTTTTCATTTTGGTGTTTTAACAAACGCAAGGCTGTGGCAAAAGCAAGACAAAATTCTCTCGAAACTAGAAAAACTTAATAATCACTGGATTTCGCTTATATAATACCTCAAGCCGTTACAAGATCAGGTAACCTAGATCTAAAACTGTTACCAGATCAATCTTCCTGAGTGAGACAAACAGACCTCCGTGAGGCCCTGTTTGTTCAAGCAGCAGACTCAAGCTCGTCCTCGGCGAGCGAATCACCCACCTTTCAGACCTATGGCGCGTAAGACTTTCTGTTGCTCTCTCTTTATCCGATTTTGATAATGTTCTTTATCCGATTTGGATAATCTTCTTTGTCCGATTTTGATAATGTGTTCAACTAGGATAAGTCTGTATTTGGATAATGCTGAACTATAATTTGGAAAAGAGGTAACAATAAGGCCGCTATAATCCTCCTGGACTAGAGTGACCGATAGAACCCGGATGGATGTATAGACAGCCTTGGAGAAAGATAGTAGTCGTATTAATTAGTACGGACGACTTACTGAAAACACACACACACACGCCTCGTGAGGCGAAGGACGAGCACGATATACTATGGTTGCACCGAGGATAGATGTAAGAATATATATGTACAGTATATCAAATGGCGCGTTAGGCTGTACGGTAGATTGTACTGATGCTAAAGCACTATATACACAACAGTGTAGCAAATGATATGCCCTATGTAGCTGAGAACAGCTAAGCCCGCACACCTCTGGGAGAGCAGAGGGACAACCCAAAGATGGAAACGGAAAGATTTCCTAAGAGAGGGCGGACAATTTACAACTGCCACTCTCGAGTTCCTACTTCGTCAGTAGATTGGCATATACTGTGACATAGACGTAATGCATTTCTATCTATCTACCGTTCATCAAACGCTCTGTTCTTCCAGCCTCTCTCTCTCTCTCTCTCTCTCTCTCTCTCTCTCTCTCTCTCTCTCTCTCTCTCTCTCTCTCTCTCTCTCTCT